CCATCTCTCCCTTCTGATTTCTTCCTCCAATCTCATACAAAATCCAATCGTTCTTCACGTCTCCAAAGATTCTACAACTCTTCAGTACACCACCGTCATCCGCAGCTTCAATTCGCTCCAATCCATCAAGCTCGTAGTTAATCTCTAACAAGAGATATTCAAAGAAATCGAGGAAAAAATCAACAATTGAAAGGGTTGAATTCTCAGTTCCCAGAGGGTTTCTTCGCGATCGATGTTCAACAACAACAACAGTAGCGATGACTTCTTTTCCTGATTCAGAACCACCGACTGGGCTTCTAAAAATTTTGGGTTTGAGTTGACAAGAACAGAGTTCTAGTAGCGAGATTACAGATATGCCGGTGTTTGTCTACGAATCGGACCTGGCGGCTTCTCTCATGGTCTACGCAGAGAAGGATTGACCGGACTGAGTATGAGCGCCGGGAAGATGATGATGCTGGTCGTCGGATTTCTCGATGGTAGGTTATGGCCGAGCTGACTTCAGATTTGTCGGATGGAGATGCTTGGCATTGATGTTTTTGTTGTTGTCGATCTGGGTTTCTCGACAAGATGGTCGCCGGAGTTGAATGAGGCGGCGCTTTGACTCCAGCTGATTCGTCGCCTTTTTCTTCCGCTTCCAAACGACGGCTGGGGATGCGGGAATGGTTGTTTTCAGATCTGCTCCACTTCGGCACTTCCTCACGTCTTGGTTTCGGAGATCCCGATCGTCAGCGGTCTGGATTCACCGTTTGTAGCTTGTTGCGGCAAAGCATTCGTAACAACCGGCTTTTTGGTTTTTGATTTTTTTTTTTTTTTTGTGAATGTAGATCAGATTGTTGTGGAGAGAAATGGGAAAGGGGTTTTTTTTGGTTTTCTGGTTGGGTTGGGATTTGGGGGAAGAAATGTAACAGAGAAGACGAACGGATTTGGTGCTGGGTTAGGTTTAATAGGTTTGCGGGAGGAGGTGGGAGGAAGGAGGAGAGCAGCTGCAGTGGTGGTTTTGGGAAAAGGAGGAGGTGGGAGGTGGGAGGAAGGAGGAAGAAAGGTTGGGTTGGGTTGGGTCATGGATTGGGTTGGGTTTAGTGACGTGGCGGGTCGGGTTTTATCTTTCTTGGGTTATATCTGGCTTATTAGCCAATTTTGTTTGCCACATTAGTATTTAACGGACTTCATTAAAGGAGTTGGACGGAGACTAACGGAGAGTGACTAAATATGACATGTTTCAGTAATTTGAGTGACTAAAATTGATATTAATTTTTTCTAGTGATTAAACATGTCCCGATTTAGTAATGTCAGTGACCAAATGTGTCTTTAACCCATGTAAACCTTTACCATATAGGGATTTAAAATGTTCAAACCGACCCCAAATTTTGGTTTACTGAAATGAGGCTTATATTCCTCATAAACTAGTCTTGTTTACAAAATAAATTACGAGGCATGAAATGCACAAAATAACTGCAAAGTGCATTTTAATGATCCAACGACCGTCACGCAGCGAAGAACACAAATAAATTGGAACCATATGGCTAGTTATAAAATGCTAGCCAATTTATTATTAAGGTGTACGGTTATTTGGCCAAATAGTGTCTATCTTTGGACGAAACACTATTCGCATAAACAACCACACACTATCAACAAGTTACAGCTAATTAAAACTATAATTATTTATGAAACATAAGAATTACTTATAACCCAAATCAAAGACCGACAAGTCCCGTAACCGAACATATGATATAATAAATTATTATCAAACTCATCATCAAGGTAACTTTTCAAGTAATAATACATGAATCAAAAGCCACTATTCTAATACAGCCATCAATGAAATTAAAAGAAAAAAAATCATTAAAAAAGGTTAAGTTCCCATATGAAATCGATGCCCTTCATAAAATTTGGAAGACCAAAACTTAATTAAACTAGATAGTCGGAAAAAAAAAACAAAACTTAATGGTTATTATTTCGGTGAAACTCTCAAAGAGCTGGTTCCACTTGTAACCAATAGTGGGTTAGAGAGTTACTTTAATCCTCATATTAATTATTGTGTCCATAAATATGCATTCATACACACGGTAGAGAAAAAAATCTCATCGTCATACCGTAACCGAATGCAACAAAGCTATAACAATAAACTCTTAACTAGAAGATAACTTTAATGACAATTAAAACTCAATTGAAGCCGTTAGAGATTTCAATTTGTTACGGAAGACCGAAAACAAAAGCGGAAAGCTCAATAATTATAAGGATTAATACCTTAGTTTGGCCCGAACTATACACATACTTTCTACTTTGGTCCGTGATATTAAAAATTGCTATTCTAGCCTAAACTATGTAGCAAACTTCCTCATTTGGCCTGGAGGCGGGTTTGACCGTTAAATTAAACGGTCAAACTTGTTGACCGTTAGTCAATGTCCATCTTACCTGCCACGTCAGCTTTGAGAACATAAAAAATATATTTTTTTTATTTCTGAATTTTGTTTTCTTGTCATTTGCTAAAAATGGGCCCTTTTTCGTTCTTTTAATTAATTTTTTTGATTTATTATTTTTTTAATAGAAAGAAAATAAAATTCAGAAATTAAAAAAAACAATTTTTTATGTTCTCAAAGCTAACGTGGCAGGTGAGGTGGACATTGACTAACGGTCAACAGGTTTGACCGTCTAATTTGACGGTCAAACCCGCCTCCGGCCAAATGAGGACGTTTGCTACATAGTTCAGGCCTGAATAGCAATTTTCAATACCACGGGCCAAAGTAGAAAGTATGTGTATAGTTCAGGACAAACTAAGGTATTAACCCTAATTATAATAATAATTAAATCGCATATACCCGAAATCATATGTGTCAACCGACAATCAAAAAAAAAAAAACTTCCGTAAATCCTCTCTTGACAATGGTGAACATCATCATTTACGGCGATGGCTCCTAAATGGAGAGAATAGTTCCCGTTCCCGAGATATTATTAATATAATCATATATAAAACTTACTCATTAGGGGTCGTTTGCTTTATGGATTTAAAAATGAGGGTTTTGTAATTTAAAAATCCAAGGATTTATCAAGGATTTTAAGGCATCATGGATTTGTAACAATCCTTTGTTTGTTGGGATGTTTTTATCATGGATTTAAAGGTGTGAGATTTACTACTTGAAGTCAAAAATTACATTACTGCAATTTTCTATATGTTTGACATGTTTATGATATGTATACAAAACCAGGACAAAACTTCAAAATTACCTTACTATCATTTTCTATATGTTTGACATGTTTATGATATGTACACAAAACAAGGACAATACATACTAATAAGCATAATGTTACCACATGGACAATAATAATAAACGAGAAAATTCCGTTTTAACTTTTAACGTAACTTAATCAATTACCAATTCTTTGTCCTCCTTTTCAAAAGTAACATATAACAACATATATTAGAATCGGGAGAACAAAGAATTACACGTTCCATGAAAAGGTCAAAGAAAACTAGAACACAATAAATGATATAAAAAATCTAACTCATGTTTGCACATTAATTGAACGTTTATATTATTCGTTTATTGTTAATTATAATGTATAATAGTTAAATTTGAGGGCAACCTTGGAATATTAAAAGTGCATGAGGGTATATGGGTAAAATCTTATCAAGGATTTATGCCATATTCCAAATCCCACATCAACATGTGGGATTTATAAGTCCGTGGGGTCCACGGATTTGGACCCTTAAAATCCATGGGCCCCACGGATTTGGTCTCCAAAAAAGGTGCAAGCAAACAACGGATTGTACCTAAATCCTTGATAGTTGGTTTTTAGGTACCAAATCCATGTACCAAATCCTTGAAGCAAACGAACCCTAAAACTTCCCCATAATTGTTTCAGAGCTCCGTAACCGAAAACAATGAAGTTTAATTGATCCATAGCTCTGTAACTGAAAACCATAAATTAACCCCAATTATCATCAATGGGGAAAAAATAATGCAAGTTAACAATTATTATTATAATAAACTTTCATGTAACCGCCATTCATCTGCCACTTTAATTCTTACGGTAGGGAATAAACAAATAATCCCCACTGGATTCACGATAACGGCATAACTCCAACCGAATAATTTAAAGTGTAAAACCAAACAAATTCCAAACGTTGATAACAAAAGAATACCACCGGAAAACGTTTGGATGCCTCCGATCATGACAACCGGAAAAGGGGGAAAACCCCGAAATACCTGGCATGGAAATTCCCGGCCACAAACCAAAATATATATCTAATAATCAAAACAATCACCGAAGTATGATGGTATCATGCACTGAACGTAATAGAGATAAAATTATCTACAAATAAATATAAGGCAATGTCAGCAAAAAAATTCTGCCACCTCAGCCTACTCTCGCCAACCCGCACAGTTCGGAGGGTTTTAGTTGTAAATTTAACGCTCCGTGCTTATTTCCTCCACGTTCGTCTTCCCCTATCCCTGTGAATCAGAATTCAGAGCCTCTGTATCTCTTGCCCCTCAAACTCGATTTCTCTCTACTCTCCTCCCAATCGTTCTCTCGCCTTCAATATCCTCCGTAGCCTCTATTGGCGGAACCAACAAACTCTCTGCCGCGCAATTGGACCTTGCGCCCCGACGTCTCAAACTTCTTCTCCCCTGACGAGATTGCCTCCTCCTTCTCCTTCTATTCCTTTTCCCAGCGACCGATTTTGAGCTTCTCCTATTATCCTTCTCTCTACTGGTCCTGACCCCTCTCTCTTAGTTCAATCTCTCCCGCTGTAAGGCCTGAAATTAAGCGAAAATTGGATCTGGGAAAACAGAAAACACAAAATCCGACAGAAGTCTCTTGAAATACCATTTGCATGTCACTGGAAGCTATGGTTTTCCATGGGTTCCTTCACTTTGGAGGAAAGGAAGAAAGATATTAGATATGGAGAGATGGGGCACAGTGAATAATGAAAATAGCTGTGGGTTTGCATAATTGCGGGAGGAAGGAAAGCCAATAGTTCTATTTCGATGGGTTTTCTTTGGTTTAGGAAGAGGAAGAGGAAGAGAGACAGAGACAAAAAGGAACACTTACGGCCAAAGGAGGAAGGTGAATGAAGGGTTGCTGGGTAGGCGAATTAGGTTTATTTTTACTTGCCTATTTTTAAAACAGATTAAAGATAAAATCATTATATGATAACATAAATTATAATGCAGTAAGTAACTGAACGCTGTACTAATTACATTGGATACATATTTCTTAAAATAAAATTCTGGGTCAATTCAATTAAATCGGATTCTACCACTTAACAATAACCCTGTTCCTTAAGCACTATGTAAGTTGGAAATTAAAGCTTTATGTTACTTTATTGTTGGATTCTGATGGTAATGGTAGTCTCAATTTCATGAAACATGTTAGATTATGTGTTTGTAATAATGTTGGTAAGTGATTAGAGTTCAAAAGGTTTATTTTTATAACCTCTAACAAGATGAATAAAGCCAATAATAACAACCAACTCTCAATACAATGAACAAAACGTTCTAAGACATTACTTTTTCCCTGTAAATTATCTAAAAACAGCTAATTTCACAATTTGATAAACTATTTGCCTTATATATAACAGGTCACCTACTTTTGATGATTGTTTTTTACATATTCAGTTCATCTAATAATACATCTCCATAGTTCATATTACAATCTTGGCGTAGATTCTTATAAATTTTTTTGGCATAGATCATTAATCTATTATAGATTGACAATCCTTGATTGATAGTCGATAGCTTTGGAGAAAAAACTGACATTGGCTATTGATTATAGGAACTAGAGCTATAAGAAAATAAAAGAGAAGAGTAACCCATTTGAGCAAATTGATAACATTAATTAATTATGATATTAAACTAATATTTATATTGAAAGAAGAAATCCCACCGCAGGACCTGGTACTGCACACGCAGACTGCTTTTACTGCTCATGCTGACCGAGATGTACTGTTATAACCCGGAAGCTGGCGCTGTGTGGGCTGGCGTTGGGTGGGGGCTCATTGGGATCGGACGGGTGTTTGGCGGGTCGGTTGGGATGGAACTTGGTCGTTGGGCTGTTTTGGTCTGCTGGATCGGTTGTGGTCCACGAGCGCGTTGGTCACTAGGGCCCTCTCGGTGGCTGGAGCCTGCCCAGTTGCTTGATTGGATTGATTTAAGGCGGCCGGTCTATTTTCCTTGGCAGCTGTGTCAGGGCCTTTGCAAGCGATCGACGTATCCGTGGGTGGGAGACTCAGAGATGGTGGGCCATAGGGGGACTGGAAGGGTTTATTGAAAGGAGATGTACTGCTCAGTGGCTCTGCAAGTGGCTTAGGGCAAGGTCAGAGTATTTGCGGTGTGGAGCGTTTGAGAGGTGGGAGTCGTGCCGGTTTCAGAGGCTGAGAGGAGGAAGGTGTGGGAGAAGAGAGGTATGTCTTGATGATGTAGACAGGGCATACTTTCTGAAACTGGAAAGGTAATTGAGGGGACTAATCAGAGAAGCAGAGAAAGAAAAAACTAAAATATGAGGGGATAGAAGCTTGGTCAGGGGAGCAGAAAAATGAGATTGACGGTTGGCAGAGATATTTCGTTCGTTTGCTTGGTGTGGTTAACCTAATCTACCCGTGGTGCTATATTCTCTCTCATCGAGGTCAGAGAAGCACTCTTCCTCTTTCTTTCCATTCGTTTTCTCTTCCTTTTCTTGACTGGGTTCGTTCTCTCTCTTTCTATCTAAAAAATGGGGTTTCTTTGATCCTCTTTTTCCAGGTTTCTTCATCGCCGCTCTCAGGAACAGAAGGATCCGAGCTCTGCATCAGAGTTGATTCATCCTTCAACTGTGAATCTACTATGGTGAGTCGTTATATGGATGCTTTGTATTTCGTTTGTTTCAGTGGATCGATCGGAGTTCCCTGATTTTGTTTGTTCCGTTGTTTTGAGCTATCAAGAAAGGGATTTGAGTGTCCTGGAGTGGATTTGGAGCTATTTGGAAGAGGGGGGGGGGGGATTCGAAGAACACCCGAACCACAGGTTCTATACTGTTTTGATGTGATTGTTCCTTTGTCTCTCAAAATTTTGTTTCTGTCGTGATGGTTTATATTGATCATCTTTTGTTTTCTCTCTACTTTTGGCTCTCTTTCTCATTTTCGAAACCAGTAGAGCTTGGAGCAATTAACTGGCAAATTTGAAAGATATAAATAAATAAGGGAAACAAACTATACCGGCCAATCGGCCGGGCACCAACTAGTTATATATAAAGCTGAAGCATAATTACTGTTGCCTAAAAATATGCTATTTTGATACTTCAAATTTTATTAAACTACAACTTAGTCATTATAATGTATATTTTACATTTTGATACCCTAAATTTAATTTTAGTGTAAAATCATTGAACAATTATGTTTTAGTATCTAAATTTTATGAAATTTTCGTACCTACAATTTTTATATTCACATATTGGTCCAATGTTTATATTTCACTCGAATCCATCAATCCAATCCGCTAATCCTTGTGAACCAATCCATGAATGCAATCCCCCATAACATAAAAATATAAATATAGTTTGTATCATACAAGATATTATATCACTCAACTGTAGGAGAAGATTCAACCATTTTATATTTGCTCATTACGTGAAATATTAAAAAATGATAAAAAGATAGACGATTCTAAAATATTGTAAGAGCGAATTTATAAACTATAATATAAAGCTGAAGCATAATTACTGTTGCCTAAAAATATGCTATTTTGATACCTCAAATTTTATTAAACTACAACTTAGTCATTATAATGTATATTTTACATTTTGATACCCTAAATTTAATTTTAGTGTAAAATCATTGAACAATTATGTTTTGGTATCTAAATTTTATGAGATTTTCGTACCTACAATTTTTATATTCACATATTGGTCCAATGTTTATATTTCACTCGAATCCATGAATCCAATCCGCTAATCCTTGTGAACCAATCCATGAATGCAATCCCCCATAACATAAAAATATAAATATAGTTTGTATCATACAAGATATTATATCACTCAACTGTAGGAGAAGATTCAACCATTTTATATTTGCTCATTACGTGAAACATTAAAAAATGATAAAAAAGAGAGACGATTCTAAAATATTGCAAGAGCGAATTTATAAACTAATTTAGTATATTTACGGGGTACTAAACAAACTTCTACTAACTACATGCATGTAACAAAATATGTGACATCTACATAAGCAAGTTTCAATAAATTGCTACGGTGAAAAATGTTGACTGTTGTATTGACGGCCAACTAAAAGAATTGGTCAAAACATTTCTACCATCTACTTCCTCTTCCTTTCATTATTCACTCGCCTTCCATAACCCTTTCTTTATTTCTTTATTTGTCTTCTTCGTCTAACCCTAATTAGTATAGTATTTTATGTATTCTAATCACAAGTATGAACATGTCCATACACGACTGACCAACAATCTAGAGAATTAATAATTGAACCATGAATCACTAACATTTTCAGCTCAATGTCGAGTCCAATTAAAAAAAATATGGTTATTACTTATTAGAAAGTCGTCATTTGCACTACGAGATTTGAAGGCGTGAAATTTTAAGCGAGTTTCAGTTTGTATTCCTTTTTCTTCTCTCTAGATTTTTTCTTTTTCACCCGGGCTAGAATTTTCAACATTATACATGGAATTTTCAACAATTAATACATATCAAATAAATAGTAAATAATTATCATCCTAAATACATCACCATAAAAGGAATTGAGCCTCAACTATGCAAATTACAATTGGGTACCTAAACTTAATAGATCTTTAGATTTATAACCTAAATTTTTTCGGCATATAAGTCCTCAAAATATTGATGGAACATTATATTTAATACCTAAAATTTTTGTTTATTACATTTTAGTACTTGAACTTTTGAAGTTCTACAAATAGGCCTAAATTTTGTATGTGTAATGAAAACACCCTCAAATAAAAGGGTATCTATACCCAAATCATATACATTTAGATTATGAAATTAAATATACACACCCTACCAAACCCATCTACAAACTTCAAACCCCATATATACATCACTCATACCCTATCCATAATCAATGGGTCTACTTGGGTTCAGGTAAATATCATTTATTAGCCAAAATTTTCAAAAATTTTAAATTGATTGTTGACCGTCGTATATCTCTTCTCACTCAATATTCAATATCGTATTTTCAATTCAATATTACTAACAAAACTGTTAACAAAAATTAATTTTAGGCTAACATAACAAGCCACATAATACATATCCATTGGCCATTTCCACCCGCGACAAGACGCGGCATCGCCATCTAGTAATATATATAAAGAAGAAGTTGAGTTACTGTTCGCAAGCTGAGTGGGCAACTATCATTTTTACATTTTCATATCTAAATTTAATTAAATTACAACTTAGTTACTATAATGTACATTTTACATTTTGATATCCCAAATTTAATTTTAATGTAAAATTATTGAACAATTATGTTTTGTTCTAAATTTTATGAGCTTTTCGTACCTATATTTTTTTTTAAATTTACATATTAGTTTAATATTTAGATTTCACTTGAATTCATGAATCCAATCCGCCAATCCTTTTAAATCAATCCATGAATCCAATCTACCATAACAAAAAATATAAAGTTAGTTCGTACCATACAAGATGTTGTATCACTCAACTGTAGGAGAAGATTCGACCATTTTATATTTTCTCATTTCGTGAAACATTGAATAAATGATAAAAGAGAGACGACTCTAAAATATAACAAGAGCGATTTTATAAACTCATTTAGTACATTTACGGGGTACTAAACAAACTTCTACTAACTACATGCAACAAAATATGCGACATCTACATAAGCAAGTGTCAATAAATTGCTACAATGAAAATGGTTGACTGTTGTATTGACGGCCAACTAAAAGAATTGGTCAAAACCTTTCCATCATCTACTTGCTTTTCGTTTCATTTTCACTCGCCTTCCATAACTCTTTATTTATTTCTTTCTTTGCCTTCTTCGTCTAACCGTAATTAGTATATAATTTTTATTATTCTAATCACAAGTATGAACGGGTCCATACTACTTACCAACAGTCTAGAGAATTAATAATTGAACCATGAACCACTAACTTTTTCAGCTCAATGTCGAGTCCAATTAAAAATAAATAAATATGGTTATTACTTATTGGAAAGTAATCATTTTCCACTATGAGATTTGAAACCGTGAAATTTTAAGCGAGTTCCTGTTTGTATTCATTTTGTTTCTCCCTAAAGATTTTCTTTTTCACTCGAGCTAGAATTTTCGACAATTATATATGAAATGTTTGACTAGGTATCTACACATATCAAATAATAGTTATTATTTTTATATAAAAAAGTAAATAATTATCATCTTAAATACATCACCATAAAGGAATTAAGCCTCAAATATACAAATTACAATTCGGTACCTAAACTTAATAGATCTTTAGATTTATAACCTAAATTTATTTTTTGGCACATAAGTGCCCAAAATATTGATTGAACATTACATTTTTGTATCTAAAATTTTTGCTAATGACATTTTGGTGCCTAAACTTTTGAAGTTCTACAAATATGTCTAATTTTTGTATGTGTAATTAAAACACCCTCGAATAAATGGGTATTCATACCCAACTCATACACATTTAGATTATGTAAGTACATATTTCAAACCAATATACGTCACCCATACCCTACCCAAACCCATCTACAAAATTGCAAACCAATATATACGTCACTCATACCCTACCCATTATCAATGGGTCTACTTGGGTTTAGGTAAATATCATTTATTAGCCAAAATTTTCAAAAAATTTGAAATTGGATGTTGACCGCCATATATCTCTTATCAGTTAATATCATATTGTCAAGTCAATATTACTAACAAAACTGCTAACAAAAAATTAATTTTAGACTAATAATACAAACAAACACCATAACGAGCCACATAATACATACCCATACACCATCTCCGCCCGCGACAAGGCACGTCATCGCCACCTAGTTAATAAATAATTTTCCAAGACTGCATTTGGGTTCTATTGATCAGTAGCATGCATATAGTCTATAGATTCATTTTTTGACAATCATGCACGGACCAAAAGCATGATGAAAGTATCCAGAAAATTAAAACTAAGAATGAAATTAAACTATAATCATGCTTATAACATCTTCGAGAACCCCAATAATATAAACATAGAATTCAACAAATTCACAAAGAAGAAAGAACCCATATACATGCACTGATATTCAAAATGAATATGCAGCCAAAAAAAACTCAGAAGATTGAAAAACATAGGTATATCCGGAAACCCCAACAATCCAACAGAGATATAAGGCTCTGATACCACTTGTTAGAATTAATTTTAAGGGATGTAATTTTCCGGAATTCACCTCGTCAGATTATCAAAGGTTTGTAGAAATACCTGGAACCGTGTTGTTGATCGCCAGGGGCGGACCCAGGCAGTGGCGGACCCAGGATTGTTGAAGAGGGGTGTCGCCTAATGAACGAGTATCGATTATAATTATTAAAGCGGTGTCGGAAATCTCGTAATAAAATTTTTTGTACCAAAAAAATATAGGTTCTTCACAAAATTTTCG